CCCCTCAGCTGCTCAGTTCAACTCCAGAACAGGTACTGCCCTGCACGCTCTCATCCAGCTAATTCCTGGACCTCCACTAACTCCTCTGTCCCCCTCTGCAGTGAACCCACTTGTGACCAGTCCGTTCTCTTCCTGGACCTGATTTATCTGTGTGCCTTTCAGAACCCACTCGTGACCAGACGAGTTCCCCACTGGATCAGTTCATTGATTGTGTACAATCTTCTAAATAAACCTTTGAACTTTTCTCCTGCCTCTGAGTGTTCTGCATGTGGGTTAGACACGTTAAACAAAACATGACAGTTATGTCTCTTTCTGCTCCTCCTGCATCTGTGTGTCTTTGCACTGCTTTCTTTTTTATTCATACCTTTGCTTTGGTGGTTGGCAAACAACAAATTATGAATTTATGCCACCAATTGATATTGAGTTTGGAACAAAATGGCTGAATTATATGTATTTTTCTTTAATTGACACATGCAAATTAGGTGATGACATCATACTTTACCTTCTAGCAACTTTTAGAAGAGCTAATATAGACCTTTCTTGCTGATAAGTTAACAACAGTGTTGCTTTTGACAGCCATTTTAGATTTAGTTAGTCTTCAGGATGAAAACTATTATTAGTTTTAATCACATTTTAGTCATTGCTTTATGTGATAGTTTTAGTAGGTTTTAGTCGACTAAAATTCAAAAAGGCCTCAGTCTAAATTAAGTCAGTTTTATGTTGCAATTTAAAAACAGCTAACATTTACAATTTCAAATACAACCAGATTCTTTACCAGATTGACAGCTCTTGCCTAGATACTACAATAGCTGGGTATAGAATACTGCTATGCAGTTCATCATTGCTATTGGACAGAAAACTGATTTCTAGAATTCAAATAAACCTTTTTTATGAAATGATGCCCTACTTTAAACAAAAGTGCCTCACAACAGTTCACTTTAGACTTTTAAAAGTCTGAAAAGGGTTTGGAAAAAAATATAATAAAAGGCCTTTTATTAGCAGAAATCTAAATTAGGCAAAATCATTCACAGATATGCAGGTGACTTTTGGACTTCAAAAGATGGTATAAAAAAAGTGCCGCCATGAAAATCCTTCAGCGATAATATCTATTCAATTATTTACAAGAATGTGTCACAAATTGAGTGTTATTTTATTTTAAGCATCTCAAAATTTTAAGGTGGGACCTGATCCAAGATGAACTTCATTCAGCCACAAAACCTTTGGCCTTGGCCCTAAAAGAATACACCTAGGCCCAGACTATTTCAAAATTATTACATGCTTTATTGTAGATCCCTTGTGTTAATGGAGAACCACTTGCCAAAAACATTTCCATGTGCTTGTCTTAACCTCCAATATTGAGCTGTGACTGCTTTCTAATTACGATTTAGAAAAGGATTTCTTATATGCCCTGTGATACCAAAAAGCTAAATTAGACAAAATCATACACAAATTTAGAAGGCCCATGAAAAATCATCAATGACAATAACTTTGCAACATTTGCAAAGATGCTTTACAGAAACAGGTAGAAACTGAGTGGTAATTTAATCATCCTAAACTTCGAAGTTCAAACCTGATGCAAACTGAACTTTATTCTCCCACAGAATCTTTGGCTCTAGTTCAAGATCAACATCAAGTGACAGGCCTTGATTTGTTCTTGAGTGTTTTATTTTTATTAGACATGTATTATATAAGGATCTCAATTAAACTCACTCACCAGGCAACAAACTGCAACAATCGCCAGAAGAGTTGATGGAAGACCAGTGCAAATGATGATTAATTCCAACACACGCACTACTGCACGTATACCATCGATATTTTCAGGGTTGTCACCAGGTGAGCTGTTGTTGAAATCACTGCTTTGGTTGAAATTGGTTTGGTTGTAAAACTCATCCATTTCTTTGAGGAGAACCTGCAGATAGACATGAGATCATGGTTAGCAAGGTTAAGTTTACCTTGTGAGATTTGTTCCTGAATATTGTCAATACTCTATGAAGCAGAGTCGGTACAGTCATTGTCCACTGTTGTGCCATATGCCATGATCATGGTTTTTGGACATTGGGAAGCAGTATAAATATTTCATCTTGACATGATGACTAGATAAGAGAATAAAATTTCAGTGAATAAGCAGCTATAAGAACTCTGCACCCCCCCTTTCTCAGCCACAGGAACTTTCAAAGAGGTGTGGCCAACCACCCCCCTCTGTGTGAGGACAAAATAAACCACATAACAAACACACAGGATTCTCTCTTTTTCCCTGCTCTCTTTTCTATGAAGCTGGAGTCCACTTCAGCAGGGTATCTGCCAGAGTGGAGACCCGGGCCCAAAAAGACCCAGATCTCCAGAATAAATCATTATTGTGACCTTTTAGAGCCAAACCTTGTGCAACACATTTCTCTGGAGAATTTAGAGAGTCAGACTGGAGAGAAGGCCTTCTAAAGCCCCATGGTGTGAGCCTGAGACAAAGAAACCCCTGGTTGCTGTTTAGCCTGACTGCTAAGCTGCTGCTGGATGAAACCCAAGCCTTCTAATGGACATGGACAAAAATTATTCCAGATAAACTTTGGTTATCAAACACAAGATCCATCTTAAACTGTTACATGGTTTTCAACCACGTTTCCCTTCCTCTTTCTACATAGTAGTTTAGTTTAGTTGAGTTTCACTAGTTTTAGTTAAGAGTTCTAAACCGAAATATGTTTTACTTGGAACAACAATAACAGCCAAAACAATATCTGATTAAATAAGATATTTACCACCCATACTGGGGAAGGGCAATAGGCATCTGAAAGTATCAGAAATATAAATTCCCAGCTGGCTGGGAATTGAATAGAATATAAATCCACAACATTAATGTGGCATCCACCCTGGATGGGCATTGAATATAAAATCCCAACACCAAAAATGTCAAATTATGAAATTCAATTGATACTTTGCACAAAGACAACACATTGGCTTTTTTAAATTTGATTGCTTTTCTGAATTTAGTATTAACATTTTTATCAGTTCAGTTCAGTCTATTCTTTTTTACCCTAAATTCAATCAAACATCTATTTACTATAATTATTTCTACACAGTGTTAAAGAAAAATGATTATTTTTAGTTTTTAATACAGTTAATCTTATGGCATGTGTAAAAGGTATGTTGAACACTCTCATTTTGAACATATTTCTTAATTTTGAACAAGTTTGTGAAGATAACCTTTCCTTGAACCAAAATACTGAATTTAAGTTTGTTCATGAGAAATTATGGTGAGGCCCCCGCATTCCACAGCTGTCTGTGAAAGCTTATCTTAGCCAGATGACCCTAAGAATTCTAGATGCCAAGACAAGCTTTCCGCTTTTTCTTGTTAAAACAAAGAAGCAAATGACCCCAGATGTTTGCCGTAAATTAGGGGAAGCTCTAAGTTTTTCTGAGTGTCAGAGATAGCTCCTGGTTGGAGGAGCAAAAGCCAGCCTTATTTGAATAAATTAAATACAAGAGGATAAAGCTTTCTACATAGAAGTAACAAATCAGATTTGCTCTTGCAACTCTCCAAAGATGTCTTTGTACGTCTTTGCTTTCTTTCCTTCTCTCCATTTATGTCAGGTAATTGAATGTATGTCTCCGTTGTTCTGCAGTTTCTGGTGTAAGTTTGTGCATTGTCTTATTTCTAAGTTTATGCATTGTCTTATATTGGATTAAACTCTGTAATTCTGTGACGTCAACACGCAATGCTGGTTTTCCTTGTGGTCACACGCAGCTCGCCGAGCGCACCTGGGAAAGGAAGAGAAAAAGCCAACCTTTTTCCAAAGTTAACTATATTAGAATAATTTCTTCCTTAACAACAGCAAAATAAAGTCGTACTGGAGAAATTAGAATACAATCCAATGAGGTTTGTTTCTTAAAATAAAACTACCATTTGAAATTAGAACCCGTGTACACTACTATTAAATGTAATTTTTTTTCATTATTAGATTTCATTATCTGTTAGAAAAGATACCAATATATATAGTAGAATTAAAAGCTATAAATCACAACTAAAATTAGGTAAATACTCTGTAAATATTGTGCCTTTGGACAGCTGTTTCCATTAAGAATTAATGTTTTCCCAGATAACAGATTGATTTATTTTTTTATCATTGAAATGTCAAAAGAACAAATGTAAGTAGTGATGTATGAATTTCAAGGAAAATATATCAGTCATTGTGATTCAATTTCATTGTATTATCAATTTTATAAGCAGTTTTTATTCTTTATGTACATTGATTTATGCAGACAATGCTGATTGAAACAGATGTCAACACGTATGTGTTATGGTTGTATATTTTTCACGCTTTAACAATATCTCTCTTTCAGATGTTATTAAACATTTCTATTCAAAATGTAATTAATAATAATTAAATTTTTCAATTGGTAAGTAGTGTATAAATAAATACATTTTGAGATCATTTAACCCTATTTACTAGCAGAAACTAAGATCATATCCACTTAAGACAAAAAACAACCAATTTAGTCGCTGACACAGCATGGAAGGTTTCAATTATGCCTGTTCTTTATTTGCAGTATTACTACTCGGTTTACATCAGTCAGTAGGAAACAGACTTTTATAGATTTCAAAGCTCTACTAATTAAACTCAGCTTCAAGCATATTATCTTTCCCAACACAAAGTTCTGAACATATCAGGACAAGTTATACATGACAAAATATAGCAAATAAATAGTCAAGCTATTAAAGCCAACAGCTCCAAAAGTCAATATTTACAATGTGACACATAATCATATTTACCTTTAAAAGCTTAAATAAGAATTCTCCCACAAAATGGTCCTTTGCAGATTGTTATTGTCACAAAAACATCTAACAAAATGCTTATATTCGGCTGCTGTTTCTGAGTAACCGTCTCTGGAAAACAGAAGTGTGAAATGATGCAATGATGACTAGAAAAGTTACCAAAACCTCCAGAACATTGAATGTGGAATGGCAGCATTTACAGAACTTATAATATACATGTATATATTTAGAATTGCTTGTGTTATAAGAGATATAGATATAATGTGAATGAGTCAGAACATCTCTTCTATAACTAAAGTATTTAACAAAGAATAAAGGTGCTTTGAGAAACTAATAGAATCATATGTGATCTTTTTACGAAAACCAATTAGAACTGCATTTCGTTCCTCATGTTAAGAAAGGTCATTATGATGGAGGAAACTATTTTATGATAAAAAAGGAAAAACAAACATGTTTCTCGAGTTTGAGATAAGGATCTGCTTTTAAAGCCAGATCATTGTTTGTTAAATCTGTTTACTATTTACAGTTACGTTTACTGGATAGGGCACAAACTCATGGTCATGATCTGCCCTGATAGCTCACCTTAATTATTCATGCCTTTCACCTGCTTCACTCTGTTCTTAAATACTCCACATCTTATCCACCTGGTTATTTCCTTTATATTCTGCTCAGCCCAGCTATCGTGGCCAGATCATTGTTTAAATTCTGTTTCTCCTGTCTGTCGGTTTCGTTAGTTTTAGTTATTTCCAAGGTTCACCCCTTTTGTTTAAGGTTGTTTTTTCTTTCTTGACATAGATGGCTTCCTTGATGCCCCTCTAAAACTACCTGTCTTCTTTGTCCAAAATGTGAACATTCTGGTCCTCAAAAGAATGTCCTTTGTCCATAAGGTGTAGATGTACTCCAGAGTCTTGTCCCGAGGAGGGCTCTCTTCTATATTTGGCCGTGCATCTGTGGAGAGCTTGTTTGGTTTTTCCAATATAAAGATCATAGGATTCCTCACTGAGCTGAACTGCATACACCACTCCACTCATTTAGGTCTGAACTTCTGATCAGCTGTGGATTCTTGGATTGTTGGACTGTTGGCATGTTCTCCGGGGCTGCAGCATTGGAGACACTCAGGGCGCCTCGGCAGCATTTCATTGGCAGCACATTGGCTGATCCTGCCTATTATTGAGAGGATGGACTGAACTGTTAAACTAAGTAAGTGACTCACTCTGATAATCATCTCCTGTCAGATGATTATGCTCACTTTCCTGTCGCAGTTCCTGTCGCAGTTCCACAGCCCCGCACTTTAATTCTGTTCTGTCCATTTATGTTTTTGTTTTAATAAATGTTTTGAACTTTCTTACCAACTGTCTCACCTTGAATACTGGATCCACCTGGTTTTATGACACTTTTTAAAAGTTTAAAATGACTCATACCCTAGGAGTATTATATTTAATCTTTTGAGTGTGCTTCTTCTAGCCTGATGCCAAATAAATGCAAAATTTATATATTTAGTTCAATTTAAATTCCACACAGTACCCACCTGGAAATTCTTCTGTTAAAAGTGTTTGCAAAAGGGAGGGACATTCAGTACGCTTCTTTAAACTGATTGGGTAAATCACCGATGGCCACCTGCCTCCCATGTGGAGATTTAAGCCAATCACAGCAGCAGTACCTGCTGTGACCTATCATGATTTGTTTCCCCACTAGTCAAGTAGACTAATAAATCAAACTCACATATGTAAAGATACATATCTGATTTGCTGAGTTCTTGTCAGCAAACAGTTAATGGGTGAATGATAACAATTTCAAAGAAATAGCAAGTCATAGAATGACAACATTATTTCCGGGCTTTATTGACTTTATTGATCTATATAGTGCATCCTCATATGACAGCTTTTTTTTATTATAATGCAGGGTTATTGCATAGGGTGTTTACATGGGTATTTATACAGGTGGATAATTTTATATCTATAGTTATTGCACTGAGTGTCAAATATAGAGAAACAGAGTATCAAATGGTAATTGCACATTATACATTGCATACGTTTTTGCCATTGTAGTGTCACATTGTAGAGTCTGATGGCAGCAGGGATGACAGA